ATGTGCATTAAGTGAAGCATCATTTACAGGCCTAGGAAGTGTGCATTTCTGCTGTCCAATTCTTTGGTTTTATGTTCAGTTCTGGGCACCATGTTTTAGGAAGGACATCAACAAACTGGAGAGAGGCTGAAAGAAGCCTGCCAGAATGGTGACCTCAAGATCATGCCCGTGAGCATCAGTTGAAGGAACTGAGGCTGTTTAGCCCAGAGAAGAGAAGACTTAGGGAGGAAAATAATTGTCCTTAAATAGTTTAAAGGGAATAAAAGGGAAAAAGAAACAAGGGAAATGTGTAAAATGGAATAAGCTTTTTCTATATGATTCTAGAAGCATAGGTTCCTAATGTGAGCGATACCAACCCCTGGGGACCCCCTCCCCCACTGGAATGATAAGGGGAGGGGCAGTTATAGCCTTGGGTGATGCAAATTTCTTAAAAAAATAAAGGGTTAGAAAAAGTAGAGTTCGAGGTGGTGGGGAGGGTGCGCTAAGTAATTTCTTTTTTGAACAGGGGGTGGTAGGCCAAATAAGTTTGGAAACCTTTTCAGGGAGTCTCTAAGAGTAACAGGAGTAATGATACTAGAATAATTATCATGTAGTATTAGTAATTTTATAGTAATAATACTGGAAGGGCAGCTAGATGGCACAGTAGAGAGAATGCCAGCCTGGAATCAGGAAAACGTGAGTTCAAATCCCACCTCATACACTAACTGTATGACCCTGGGCAAGTCACTTAACCCTTTTTGCCTCAGTATCCCCATCTGTAAAATGCTTTGGAGAAGGAAATGGCGAACCAGTCTGGTATCTTTGCCGAGACAACCCCAAATGGGGTCACAAAGAGTAGCACATGACTACAATAAGTGAACAACAACAGTGATGCTAGAATAATAAAATAATAGTAGCTAGCATTTATATGTTGCACAGTGGTTTGTGCATGATCGGCACAACGCCCTATGACATAGGTACTCTTATGATCCCCATTTTGCAGATGAGAAAACAGGTTAAGCTACTTTCCCAGAGTTATGTAGTTAGTTAGTAAGTGTCTTAGACGAAATTCAGAAAGTGAGTAGATGGTACAGAAAGACAAATTTAGCCTTCATCTAAGGGAAAACTTCCTAACCATTTGTTGAATCTTTCCAGTCGTGTCTGACCCTTTGTGACCCCATTTGGGGTTTTCTTAGCAAAGATACTGGAGTGGTTTGCCATTTCCTTCTCCAGAGCATTTTACAGATGGGGAAACTGAGGCAAACAGGGTCAAGTGACTTGCCCAGGGTCACACAGCTAGTAAGTGTCTGAGGCCAGATTTGCACTTAGTAAGATGAGTTTTCCTGACCTTAGGCCCAGCACGCTATCCACTGCACCATCCTACTATCTGCCTTCAAACAATTGCTAAACCTATGAATAGCGTTGCCTCTTAGGGGGCTACTGATTGATAGTAAAACAGCATGACTGATTTCCTCCATTAATGAAAGACTTTGTTCCTGGTCCTCAGAATGAGCTAAATAGATGATTAAAAATTTCCAACTACAAGCTGCTATTATGCCTGGGTAATAGACTTCACCATTATTCCTCCTACCTTCCCCACCAGCACTGAAGAAAAATCAGGCTCATTGAGTCACACACATAGCTGATGTGAGCCCTTTGTGACTGGCCCTTCCCACCCAGGATTGTGGCTGTGTTAAATACCGTCATGGCACAGGGTCCAGGGTCAGAACCAAAAACAAACCTTTAACAAAGAGAGCAGTCAGAATTCAGGTCAGATTACTCATCTGCAGTTGTCAACACTGACATCAGGAATCTGGGGTGAGGCGGAGGCAGCCGACAGGAAGCCAATTCTGGAACGCACAGCTCCAGATTAGTTAGTTCTCAGTTAGGATACTGTAATGGAAGCAAGCTGCCAGCTTTGGTTTCACAAACTGAGAGGCTGATGTTGCTTACCAACATCTGAGAGCAGATCCCTGGAGCCTTTGAACACTCATCTTTATTAACCAAGTGGTGTCTCCTCCTACCCCTGCCTCTCACTAGCACCCAGAAATCTCAGAGGGTGAGTCCAGCCAGTACCTGAACAGGGATCATTTCTACAGTGCCTCTGACAAGTGACATCCAGTCTCTGCCTGAAGGTTTCCACTGCATAGGGGACACTAACATCCCCAGGCCAACCCAGCAGGGTCCCGTAGATTGCTTCAACACCTCCAGAGGGAATATATAAAGACACTTGTAAAGTAAAACACTTTCAGAAGGACATCATAGAAAAAGTAGCAGTATTTGGTCAAATTAATAAATATTGTAGACAGTCCTACCTGAAAGTATCATATAATGATATGTTCATTTTCCATGTTTATGTAACACAACCCTCCCAAATGACTTCCAAGTAAGATGATGGACCATGTCTCGTTCAAATTTTACATCTCCCCCAGTCCCTAACATAGCACTTTGCACAGAACAAATCCTTAATAAATGTTCACTGAATGAATGAGTGAACCCTTTAACATGGAAAAACATGCCTTTTAACATTTAGTTACATTTGAGTTGTCAACAAAATTGTCGGGACATTAAACCATTTTAATTCATATCTTCTTCCTCCGCCAATTAGAGTGTAAGCTCCTTCAGGTCAGGGACTATTTTTTTGTCCTTGTATCCCCATTTCCTAGCATGCATGGTGTCTCCTACATAGAGACTAATAAATATTTGTTGAATGTTATTGGAAATATTCTATTGCTCTGACGTTAACTTTTAATTTAAGAAGAGTGGGGATTTGAAATGTTTCTAAAGGTTGTTCCTATTAATATAAAACAGTACTTCTCAAATTTTTTTAGGATCACTTTTTCAGGCAAGAAGTCCCAAAGGCCAACTTGTTTATATGCTCTTACTTGGTGATGCAAGCTTCACATTTTCTGACAAATTTAGGAACGTAGACCTAAAGCTCGAAAGGACTTCAGAAACTCTGGTCCACCCCCTCATTTTACAAATAAGGAAAGTAAGGCCATGGGAAGTGAAGTGACTTATTCAAGGTCACAAAAGTACAAATCAGAGGCAGAATTTGAATGCAGGTCCTCTGTCAAAGCAAGTGCTTTTTCTGGGGCAAATAACAAATACTGTATATACTCAAAATTGAATAGATGTTTATTTCTTATGGTTGACAACTTTTCTTTTGAAAAAAATCATATTGATATATTTTGGTTTTCTATCACTTTTATTTCCCTCTCATCTCCCCCATGCAAGCCATCTCTTGTAATAAAATATAAAAGAGAATTTTTTTAAAGTTCAACAAAATTAACCAACCAATCAACCAAGACTGACAATATGTACAAATGGTTCACCCACCTAGCTTTCCCCTTGGTTAAGGTCGACTTTAAACAGCATAAATAGTTATTAAATCTTTGGTAGGTGAAGTGTTTGTTATTCATCCCCAATAAAAACTTCAGAAGAATGTTGTTCTGTTGAATAGGGGTGTGGACATGGATTTTCAGTCTTCATTTCCATTTTGCTGTAGAAACTTCATGGTCAGAAGGGTTAACGATAGGGTCTCTTTATAAGCCTGGCCTCAGACAAAGAGCTTACAATTATTCCCCTTATTGACTTACCGTGGTGTTTCAGGCTTTTCCTGAATACACATATTGGGTTTTTAGACATGTTATTTTACCAGTGGTCTATCAAAATCATATTACTGGCAGCTCCGTGAAGGTGACTAAAAACAGGCACTGTGGGGTGCTTAGAGCTTAGTCAGATAGGAAAGACACCAAGGTCATTCACTGAATCCCAGGCCATCGCCAGTAGTCTTGACTTTTGTCTTACCATTGGACTTCAATGACTCTGGAAGAGAGAACAAGGCTGACAACTTTGTGCAACTCCACCTCATTTAAATCCAATTCATGCATGAGTCAAGACATCACCCCATGATGTCACTGGTCCTCTTTGAAAATGAAGGATGAACAAACAACCGCTGGCAACTACATTATAGTGGTATTTTGTTGTATTTTAAACTTTAGGGATAGTTGCTGATTTTTAGAATAAGAGCAAATAACTTTAATGCATGATATCAGTTCCAGGTCTGTGAGATATAAGTAGATGAAGGGATTCTGAAGTTACATGCAACAGAAGTATAGTTTTCTCTATAAATATAATCACTCAATTTTTAAAGCAAGGTTTTTTATTCATATAATTTGTATAAGGCTTCATCATTACATGGAAGTGACCTGAATTTGTGTGTGTATGTGTGTGTGTGTGTGTGTGTGTTTTCATGACTATGCCAAGATGTCAGGTCTTAACAGGCTGAAAAGATTGCCAACACATGCCAGAAGACACACTGGCATTCAGGAATGAGCCTTGCTAAGTTTGAAGAGGCTCATCACCAGAAATTGGCCTCCAGGTGATAATTTTTTTTTTTACCTACAACAACTTATGAAAATAGTCCCCTAAAAGCAGAAAGGATACAGTGCAGGATTGAAAGTGTCCACACTTAATGAAATTAACAAAATGTGAAATATTCAAATGTCTCTAATAATGGGATCCGTATAGGTTACCAGGCTCTCTTGTAAAATTAGTTGACCTTCCAATGCCACCAGTTTGCTATGACAGTGTAACTTGGGTTCATGAAAGTGATTTGTATTTATCATCACGGACTCTCAATTAGCAAGATGTTGGGGAAAATGTGGTATTGAGAGGTTTGCCACACATCAAAAATAAGTCACTTCTATGACATTAATAGCAAAAAATATAAAGTCATTATTTTTTTAAAAAATGTTCATTCATTGAAAAAGTTTGTATTGAAGTTCTTGTTATATGCAAAGTACTGTGCTAAGTGCTGTGGAAAATATAAAGTTTGGATAAGCCATGATCTTTGCCCTCCTGGAACTTTCACTCTAATAGAGGAATGAGGTTAAAATACAGGTAACTGTAAAACATAACATTCAATGATAAGTGAAATATAGAGATTCAGCAGACCAAAGTGGCAGAGGAATCCAAGGGAAAATGGTTATTATATGGTTATTAATGGTTATTTACAGATTGCAGATTTTGGTTTATCAAAATGGCGGCAGATGTCTTTGTCTCAGTCAAGGAGTACTGTATCTACCCCGGAGGGCGGGACCATCATCTACATGCCACCTGAAAACTATGACCTCAGTCAGAAGTCACGAGCCAGCATCAAACATGATATATACAGGTAGAGTACATTGCCTTGGCATATAGTTAACCTCTTTAGAAGGTTATTCCCCTATTGTAAGATGAGGTTAAAAAAAAAATTATTGGGACTCAGTGGGCAAGTTGTTTCTTAATTACAGGTATATCTCACTTTAATGCAATACAAATTCCTGAAAGATTGTGTTAATCACAATCTGTTTTCCTACTGCCTTACATCATATTATCAGTTGTTATTTTTAAAAAATATCAGTCGGGGCAGCTAGGTGGCGCAGTTGATAGAGCTCCAGCCTTGGCCTCAGGAGGACCAGAGTTCAAAACTGGCCTCAGACACTTGACAAGTGACCCTAGGCAAGTCACTTAACTCCTATTGCCTCACTGAAAAAAAAAAAATTTTATATATATATATGTGTGTGTATGTATATTTATATATATGTGTGTATATATGTATATATATGTGTGTGTATGTATATTTATATGTGTGTGTATGTGTATATATATATACATATATACCTATATATACATACACACACACACACACACACACACACACACACACACACACACACACACTTATATATACTGTGCTGGGTGCTCGAGAAAAAGTCCAAAAGTGAAATACTCCCTACTGGCTAGGAGTTTACATTCTAATGGAAGAGAAGAAAAATACATCTCTAAACAGATTCAGAATAAATATAAAGAGAATTAATTTAAAAAATCCAAGGTGGCTAGGAAAGAAAAGCACTAACAATTAACTTTGGATAAGCTAACATTCTTAAATAGACGAAGGGAAAGGCTATTTAAAGCATTCCTGTGTTGAATATTTTTGTGTGTGGAGAAATCTTTTATTGCAAATAACTGCCCAATATATGCATCTTTTTCATCATTTGGGATTTTTTTGTACATAGATGCCAGGTCACACCTGTGTTATTAAAACAATAGAGAATAATACCTATCCCACTTTGATGTTCCAAAGAAATAGGGCCATTTGACAGGAAAAAAAGAAAATACAGGATTTGAGAAATTTTTCCATCTCATGGGTAACTGCCTAATGTCTTATGGATTTCATGGTTTTAGAGCTGAAAGAGACCTTAGATGTTATCTAGTCCATCCCTTCATTTTATAGATGAAGAAACTGAACCCGGGGGAAGTGAAGTCACTTACCTAAAGTCATAGCCCAATAAGGAGGAAGCTAAATCCAGTGCTCTTCCTTTAATGTCTCTTTTAACACATTCATTATCTTACTTCAGGGCATCACCCTATATTCTGCCTTTGGGGCATTTCACTGCTTCCTTGAGACAGGTAGGAGGCCCAGTGGATAGAGTACTGGACTCAGAGTCAGGAAGACCCAACTTTCTGAGTTCAAATCCTGCCTCAGACACTAGCTATGTGACCTTGAACGAGTCACTTCATCCTGTTTGCCTCAGTTACCTCATCTGTAAAAATCAGCTGGAGAAGGAATGGCAAGCTACTCCAGCATCTTTGCCAAGAATAACTTCAGATGGGGTCAGCAAGAGTCCGACAGACTGAAATGACTGAATAAAAAAGTCCAGGTCTGACCAAGTCACCTCCCCCAGTCAGTCTTCTCCAGTGGTTCCCAGTTGCCCAGAGGATAAAATATAAAATCTTCACAAGCTGGCTCCTCCCTACCTTTCAGTCTTTCCATTTACTCCTCTGTGATCTAGCTGCAGCTGCACTGGCCTTCATGCTGTTCCTCATATGCTTCATTTCGCAGCTCTGTAACTTTTCATCGGCTGTCCTCCATGCCTGCAACGTTCTCCCTCCTCACTTTTGCCTCCTTGCTTCCCTGACTTCCTTCAAGATTCAGCTCAAATATGACCTTCTTCAAGAGGCCTTTCCCAATCCTCTCAACCATTTCCTTTTCTGTGAGATTGCCTCAATCAATCAACAAACATTTCTTAAGTACCTATGTGCCAGGCATTGTGCTAGGTGCTGGGGATACAAAAGGAGGCCAAAAAAAAAGAAAACAAAAAACCCTGCCCTCAAGGTGATTGTAATCTTAATAGGGGAGACAACATGCAAACAAATATATACAAAGCAAACTACATGCAGGATACATAAGACATAATAGAGGGATGGCCCTAGAACTAAGAAGGGTTGGCTTGTTGTGGAAGATGGGATTTTAGTTGGGACTTAAAGGAAGCCAGGGATTCAGATGGAGCTAATTGACTATGCCGTAAACTGAAAGCACTCTGGCTGTCATTAATTGACCAATAATGGGTCTAACCCAAGCCTCAGTTGGTTATTGTTTGGGTTTTGTCGGCTCCAAGTGAGTGTAAATAGCAATTATTTCTCTTCTGGCCAGAAACTCTGAGAGTCTTCCCCTCCCAGATGCTTTTTTTTTTCTTAGTTTGTTTTTTAGTAGGTAAAAGAGGCCATTTTTGCCTCTTTTCTCATCTAGTCTTAATCACTTAATGGTTGTTACCTCAGACAAACCAACACCTGGGAAAGACCCTAAGGTCTTAAAAAGGCCAAAGTCTCCCACTGCATCCAGGGCCATCTCCAGTCGTCCGATATATGTCTCGCCACTGGATCCAGATGACTCTGGAGAAGAAAGTGAGGCTAGTGACATAGCCCCGCCTCACTTAAATCCAATTCAAAAATAAGTCAATCACTTTCCTAATGTCATTGGTCCTCTTTGAGAATGAAGGACAAAAACAAGAAAGGAAGCCAGAGAGGTCAGTCATTGGAATGGAGGAGAGAGGGTTCCAGGCAAATGAATCAATCAGAGAAATGCCCGGAGTCAAGAGATGAGCATCTTGTTCATGGAACAGCCTCCCCTTTACTCTGCATATACCTTCTATGTACGTAGTTGTTTGCACAATATGTCCTCCATTAGAAGGTGAGCTTCTTGAGGGCAAAAACTATTTTTACCTTTTTTTTAATCTCTAGAATTTAGCATTGTGTCTAGCACATAGTAGCTCTTAAAAAATGCTTGTTAACTAACTGACTTAACTGACCCTTTTCCAGCTAATACTCGCTGGGAGTTGATTGGTTCCTCACACCCCTGAGACTATGAGTTGAATCTGGGGTGAATTTAAAATTAACATGGAATAACTTTGGTCTAGTCTGAATTGATAACTTCAGGACTAATCCAAAACAGACTGCCCTCTAGAATTGTGAACTAGGTTAGACATCACTAGTTTCTGTGTATCATACTTCCTAAATAGTTAAGGAGATTCAGAGGGGATTATCAGTGCTCCAGTGATATCAGTAGGGATTTTCCCTGTAAATCTCTACAGTATCCCCCCCCAAAAAACACACATACACATAAATACTCCAAGACTATAGAGTATTTAGTATTTGCCCAAGACAATAAACTCCATGTATCTAGGGTTCAATAAGGGGAAAACCCCATGAGGGAAAACCCCAGGATAAGTAATCTCAGTTGTCCTATTGCAGCCTCTTATCTTTGTTTTCATAGGCTGTTACACCCTCTTTGTCCTCCGAACCATGACAACAGATGCTACCATAAGCTTGACCTCTTTAGATATGCATTCCTAGTTTTTTCTTGGCCTAAGCGTGGATGGATCCCTTGGTTCAGTCAAAATAAGGATGATTTTTTTTTTTAAATCCTGTACTAGAAACTCATTTCGATGCTTAATGGAAGCATGGCATGTTTTGGTTTGGGTTGTTTGTTGTTTGGGGGATAAGCCGGTTTGCCTCCCATCAGGGCAAGTTTTCCCTTTACTGCTGATTATAACATGATAAGTACATTCAAGAGTTGAAGAACAAAGTGTGATAACATGAGGTCTGTCTTAAGAAATGATCTTCAGGAGTTAACATGGCCAAGAAATCCACCATCCTTTGGTGAACCTGATGATGAACCTTGCCCAGCTTAGTGAAGGGTGTCCTCAGATAACTGCCCTTCATGCCATCGCCAGGCCTACATTTGAAGCTTTTCTTGATAGAGCACTTGGTGGAGTACCTATAATCCACTAGCACAGTCCAGGAGAACCCAGAGTCACATTCATGCCACAACAAAGTATCAGACTAACAGCTCAGTGAAGGAAGGGGAAAGCAAAGCAAATTACAGAAGCTTACAAAACTCAGTCCTTATTCTGATATAACTGAAGTCTAGCCATGTGCTGGCCTCTCAGGCACAATTTACAGGATACCCAGGCCTTGTTCCTATTCTTCACTTGATCTCTAGGTTGGATTATCATCATCATTATTATTTATATTACTATTATTGTTATCCTATTTCTAGTCTGAGGGATACTACTAGTGTTCATTTGCAGGGCAGAAATTGCTGGCATACTCTGAATCTAATGGTAATAAGTCCTTTAATGCTTAAGTTCAGGTCTTCCCCCTTCCCCACATTCTTTCTGGATCCTCATTCATATTCTACACCTATTCAGTATTTCCTAATTCATGTGAGTGACGTTTCCAGAATCCTTTAACGTTTGCAATAGGAAAAATACTTTACATAGAAAATAAAAGACAATTTCCGCCAAAAGTTAAGTGGTGAGTTGTTCTTCCACAGTCCCCACTATGGATTCACAGCTAATTAGGAGTTTGAAAATGATGAAACTTTTATTTCAAAAGTGAACCATACTTACATAGCTGAAATCATTTTCCTCTACCAACACTTAGCCAGCTTTTAAACAGTCCCTTGAGGAAAGGTTATTCCAAAAAGAGGTGTTAGAGTAGTATTTAGAGTCCCTAATTTTCTCTGACTCTGGGGAATGAAAAGTATCTTGTTCAGTATAAAAAAAAAAAAATCAAGGTGTCAGTTAGACTGTGAAACTGTTTTAGTTTTAGTTTTGCCTAAATAATGAAATCCTCATGTTTGAAGGTACCCAGTCAGGTTTTCTAGTTCTTGAAATATGACTACTCAAATTAATCGAGTGATTAATATCTGCCCCGTCTTTAAAGATCTACAAAACTAATTCAACTTAGTGAAAGCACAGCTAACTTTTTTCCCTTAAGACAAAAAAAAAATAAAACACTAGCCACCTTGGCCTCTTTGGACATTTAGCATTTCTATTACATTTCACCATTGTATCTCTTTCAAGAAAAGACAGCACCATCCACATCCACAGAAAGAACTATGGAGTCTGAATGCAGATGGAAGCATATTGTTTTGTCTTTCTTTTGTTGTTTTTTGTTTTTCCTTTCTCATGGTTTTTCCCTTTTGTTCTGATTCTTCTTTCACAACATGACTAATGTGGAAATATGTTTAATATGATCATACATGTATACCCTGTGTCAGATTGCGTGCTGTCTTGGGGAGGGGGTAGGGAAGAAAGGGAAGAGAATTTGGAACTCAAAATCTTGTAAAAATGAGAGTTGAAAACTAAAAATAAATAAAATTTAAAAAAAAGAAAAGACAGTACCATGGCCAGCATCTAAAATCTATTATTTCTAATATGTAGATTGAGTTTATAAAACATTCCAATATGTTTCTCCCATACACAGCTTTGCTATTATCATGTGGGAGGTGTTGTCCAGAAAACAGCCCTTTGAAGGTAAGTAAACTTGATCAGTTTGCCCACCTTACTCTACTTAAAGACCTGTTAAATGGCCATATGCACCACCAACTAAAAATAATCTTACTCTGAATGTACTTAATATTTAATAAAGCATACCAATTGAGGCACCATGTATAGTGGAGTAGAAAGAGAACACTCGATCAGGAATCAGGAAATTGGTCAGGAGAGTACTGGTCAGTGTTTAACAACAAGGTCTCTGAAAATGTACAAACAACATGCATTATTAACATTTTCTCTGTCACTTTCTTAAGTCTAGACAATCAACAAAAAATCTCAGGATCTGATTTGTAATGAAGTATAACATTTGGTTCCTGAGAGCCAGCACAAGCTGACTCGAGCACACTCCTAGTTAGAGTACCAGCTCTGTGCCTAGGTAACTGCGGGAACCTAGATAAGTCCATTTTGAAAAAAGATTTTTCCAGGTAGTTGTTTTGGGAAGGGTATTTTTTCCACTTAGTATTTAAAATTCTTGATAACCATTTATGAATTTTAAGACTTCCCCATTTTAATTTGATTAGTTTTGATCATATTGATTGTATCAGGTCCTAATTAATGTCTAATAAATGTGTGGTGTCTGTTTTGACAGAATTTATCAACCCCTTGCAGATAATGTATAGTGTGTCAAAGGGAAATCGACCTGATACTGGGAAAGAAAGTTTACCGCTTGACATTCCACATCGAGCTGGGATGATTTCCCTAATTGAAAGTGGATGGGCACAAAATCCAGATGAAAGACCATCTTTTTTAAGTGAGTTTATTAATTTAATCTTGAGTCATTTAGATTCCCCCAAATCACCAAAATATTGTAATTGTGTAAAGTCATGCAAGTGAGAATGACTAGCACCAAGTCTACTTAAGTCTTTTTTTGTTATCTCAGATTATATCATGTTGTAAAGCTTTTGTCTAAATTTTAAAAGATACATATATTGGACTGAACTTGAAATCAAGATGGAAATACACAATAAGGAGTGGGTTTTCCACGTGAAAATTTAGAATTCCAGAGAGAGCTAAATAATTACGTCAAGGAAAAATAGAAATATCGAAACATCCCAAATCAACAACCAGTCATCTTTTTTTTTTCTTCTTTTTTCCCCCCCTGGCAATCGGGGTAAAGTGACTTGTCCAGGGTCACACAGCTAGTAAGAGTCTGAGGTCAAATTTGAACTCAGGTCCTCCTGACTCCAGGGCTGGTGCTCTATCCCCTGCGCCACCTAGCTGCCCCCTATAACCAGTCATCTTAAAAGAAGTTTTAATTATTTTTATGAGAACTGCGGGCAAACTGAATGAAAAAGTAAATTTATTAGAGGTTTTTGTTGAAAGGAAAGTTCAAACATAGTTTCTTAATTTTGGATATCTTGTAATCTAGACATAACTGCTTTAAAACTTTTTAAATAAATCAAAACCCCATTATAAATGATTATACTGATTCTGGAACTAAAGTTGGCTATGAAAATAGCAAGGTACATCAGATAGTAATGCATTTGTTTTATATCGTTACTTGTTCTTCAAGGAGCACCATCATCAAACTATAGTGAGAAACATATTGAATTTGCTTTGAATTTTGTCATTTGTTTAAACTCCATTTAGAATTGGCTTTCATTGGACATAGACTGGGCTGAAATTTCTCTTTTTTAACAGACCTCTTATTCACAAGTAGTACAGATTGAAACTGTAAACATGGCTATGGGAAGAACATTTAAATTTCTGAAGGGTGTTTAAAATGTCTAAGAGAAAAAGGCAAACTTTTCAAGTACCTTCAGGAGCTCTGATTATGCCATGTATTATTGCTATTCTAGTTAAAGATCATTCACATGGCTTCACTAAAGCAAGTCTAGGAATAAAGTAATAAAAATAAAATAAAAGTAATAAAATTGAATTTTCTCAAGTATTTCATAAATTTCACTTCCCTAGTTACTATAATTTAGGGCAAGGATTCTTAACCTACATGGAAAGATTTTAGGTGGTCTGTGAACTTGGATGTGGAGAAAAAATTACCTCTTTATTTCCATTATTTTTGGTTTCTTTTGTCATCCTATATATTTTATTTTATGCATTTAAAAGCATTATTTTTAAATAGGCTGCATGGGCTTACCAAAGGAGACACACACACACACACACACACACACACACACACACACACACACAGAGGATAAGAACCTCAAATATGATTTAAAGGGCATGTATATGTGTAGCAAAGACTATATTATATATGTGGTCCTGAGCATCTTTTTCTGAATAACTAAATTTTATTGGATCTTTACAAGTTTTTATCACTAACCTTTATTATTGAATTTGATGAAATCTGATTTTAAACAAAAAATAAAAAGAAAAGCTTGAACTTAAAGTATATAGTTGTCTTTTCTAAGGTGACAACTCTTCATTCTTAGTGTGCACTAACTGTAAAAGAGCGCTATAAAATCTCTACATTTTGAAACTATGAATGAAAATAAAAAGGAGACAGATTCTGAATTCATATAAGAAAGAAATTACCATTAGTGCTGTCAAACTCTCATAAGATACTGAGTTTTGGTCATTAGAGTTATTCCAAGAAGAGTCATTCCAAAAACATCCAAGAATAATCATTCATTCAGGGAAGACTGTTTAAATCCTTTCCCAATTCTGTGACTTCATAAAAAAAAATTCTTAAAAGTAGATAAGGGAGTTCAGATCATTTAAATTAGAATTGAACTGTAATTTGTAGCTGAAATTACGATTTTGTGTGTATGTTGGCTTTTATGAGCTAACAGCTGAACATGTGAATTTCCCTTTTTACTTAGAATGTTTAATAGAATTTGAACCAGTTATGAGAACCTTTGAAGACATTAGTATTCTTGAAGCTGTCCTTCAGCTGAAGAAAACTAAGGTAAGTAGCATCTGTGTTAAATATTAGCTGTTAATCACTGTGCTTCAAACCTTAGGGAAAGGAGTTCAGCTTCTCCATAAGATCTTTCAGCTTTTCGTACTTGGGTCCTTTCTGCTAACTCAAGAGGAAATATTTTAGCAGTGGAAACACTGTTAGATTTGGAACCAGAAGACCTGGATTCAAATCCTGGCTCTGACATTTGTTACTTGTATTATCTAGGCAGCTTCTGCCTGGGCCTCAGTTTCTTCACCTGTAAAGTGAGAGGGTTAGATTTGGCCCTTTCTGACTCTAAATATGTTTGTTTTATTTTTGTACATTTGTTTATCTGTGAGGATGAGGAGTTTCTGTATCTACATAGCTGGGCCTGAGCAGAGGAGACAGCAGTTCCCAGAGTATATCACCAGTACCTTTCTCACTTTCCAAGTAAATAGATATTAGATAATTTTCCTCCTCCCTTAAGGCCACCTTTCTCTTCTACCACATTCTTGAGACTCTGACAACTTTTCCCAGCAGGTCTTTTATTAAAGCAAAACAAGTGAACAAAAAATTTATGTAGGGCCAATTCTTGTACGAGAGTTGTTGGAGAGATGGTATTTATGTTTTTTGTAAGGTTAAAGGTGTAAAAAAAATCAATAATGCAATTTTGAGAATTTGACTAGATTCTTATCCTTTATCTTGCTGGTTAAATTTAGTATTTACATATATAGATATATAGATATAGATATATAGATATATATACTATTGCTACTGAAATAAAGCTAGAATTGGAGTAATTGGATGATTCGGGCCCAAAAATTGACTGTTTTCACATAAACGCTCAAGGTAATTTGGCAAAGTGAAGTTTTGCTCTAGGACAGACTCCAGTTCTCTATATGATTGTTTTAGTTAAAGCTTGAAATTGACCATATATTTATATGGGTCTATTGTCTGTCATAGAGAGCCATATTAGTAGACTTTGACTATGCTAAAGAGTGTGCCTTTGCTTTTAGAATACCAAAGAGTTTAGAATACAATACTTTGACAGGCGTGGTTTGTAATCCCCACTACTGGGAATTTCTTCAAAATAGATTATATGCTTAGGACTACCTAATACTTTGGGAACATTTTTATATGTTTACCATTTAATAACACTTTATATTTACATAGTGCTTTTAACTTTTTCTATGTATTGTGATATCAATTATCTTATTTTATCCTCATAATTACCCCGTGAAACAGGACAAATGTTGTTGTTCAGTTATTCAATCAGGTCCAACTGTTCATGACCACATTGACCACAGCATGCCAATACTGCCCATGGGGTTTTCTTGTCAAAGATACTGGAGTGGTTTGCCATTTCCTTCTCATATAGATTAAGGCAAACAGGTTAAGTGACTTGCCCAAGGTCACATAGTTAGTGAGTATTTGAGCCCAGATTCCGTATTCCAGGCACAGCACTCTATCCATGGAGCCACCTAACTGAAAATGAAGCACAGAGCCATAAAGAGATATAGTTAATAATAAAGCCAGAAACAGAACTCATAGATGACTGAACTGAATAGATGACATTTCTGTTTCCTATAGAATTTTTTTGGGGGAAAAAATCAACCATTCTTGCTGACTTGTTCTATTTTAAAATTTTAGGCTCTTTCTGTTCAGCTTTAAATCTCTTCTGGCTTCAAGCAGTATATGCTTTCTAAAGCTAATTTTTCCTATTTCTTTAGTGGCAAAAATTGAGACTGTTCCCTCCTCTCAAAAAAATATCCCTTGGTAATTCACTGTATTTTCTCTCATTAATTAGTTATCTCATGATTCTGTTTGAATTTATCATAGTTACCAGGAATGTTACGTGTATATCAATTTACATTAATCATTCAAAGAAACTTTTTTGTCACCAGATTTATTTAGCTGAATTTTATAAGCACCAAAATAACAATGTCAGAGATAGGTCTGAAAGTTTATTAAACTAATTGATTAAAGGAAAAGTCACTGATTTTTTTTTCAATCCAAAAGTACACAGTATTTTACATAAAGGTTACCCTAAAGTATCTTGAATTTTCTCTTCATTGCAATTCAAATGATCATTAAAGATAGGGATAGGCAAAAAGTTAAAATAAATTGAATTTAGGTTTTAAGTAGACCTTATTACATTTCTATAATTTCAGTCATCTCTAGCTAAAAATACAAATCTGTTCTCTTTTGTTGCAGAATAATTTAAATATCATTCCTATATGTTCCAAGAAGACAATGGAGTACCCTCTCAACATACTTGTAAATCATGGTCCACAAGAGGTAAAAATATTACTTTATAGATTCTCAGGTCTGAAAGACACTAAAAGGTCATAGTCCATCTCTGTGATTTTACAAGTGAGGAAACTGAGACTGAAAGGGGTGACTTGAATTGTCCAAGGTCATAGAGCTAGCCGCTGGCAGAGTTGGATTACAACTGCGGTCTTCAGACTACAAAACTAGTGGTACTTCTGTAATACCAGTGTCCTTCTATTGTTTCTGCTCTGATCCCCATTGTTAGCCAGGATGCAAGTCAGAGTGACTATGGTGATTCAGAAAGTGAGAATTTATGGTTATCACCTTATTTTGCTGCATTATCTAGGAGAGTATAAATATCTTTCTGCTAGATGCCAAGGAGAATTTTCATTACAAGAAATGAACCTAATGATGCCAAGAATACAAGATCCCACTATGATAATTATTTGTTGCCTGTAAAAAAATTTTAATTTGATAAAACAAAAAGACTCTCCTCCGACAAGTTGCCTCCTTTGAATATATTAAAATCATAAAAGCCTTTTTGAAAGATAAAACCACAGAGAGCTATTTAAAACCCCTCTAATTATTAACATGAAGCAAGACATAAAACAAGATGTATTTTTGCCAAAAATGTACATTGACATGGAGGATGTTCAGTTTTTTGTTGAGTCCTTTTTTCATCATGTCCAACTTTCCGTGACCCTATTTGAGGATTTCTTGGCAAAGATACTGGAATAATTTGCCATTTCCTTCTCCAGCTCATTTTACAGATGAGAAAACTGAGGCAAACAGGGTTAAGTGACTTGCCCAGGGTCATGCAGCTAAAAATGTCTAAGGCCAGATTTGAACTCAGGTCCTTCTGACTCCAGGGCCAGCAGTCTATCCACTGTGGCACTAGGGTGTTCAGTAGAAATTCTAAATGGAAGAAGGATTCCCTACAAATGTGAAGGTCCTCCAGGGGTCCCAGTTTGTAAGGGACATTGTGGTGACTGCATCGAGCTCCAAAATATTACAGAGCAAATGAGAACCACAATCCCTCAGAAGAGTTTGACTGGACTGTCCACACAGAAAAAAAAAATGGTTAAAGAATGCCTGTTGTCTAGACCAAAAATGCCAAATACACGGCCCAGGGCTGAGGCCTCATTAAAATATAACAGGGAAAAAATATAGCTTGGAACTCTTTAACAAAATAAAAATATGATGAAACATAGATAAAGCTAATATGAGGTCACCTAAGTCAATATTCAGTCCACAGGAATCCTTATGTACGGTTTAGTTGTCTCTCATTTCTATTTGAGTCTGACACCACTGGTGGGCTAGACTACAATATCACTTGATGAGCAGCCCATTGATCTAATATATCAGTACATATATCTTGGACAGACACTGTAGATGGATAATGACTTGGGCCCACAAATGAACAGGTGACAGAAAATAGGTTTTTCCAGTATATATTCTATGATCTAGTGACACTGGTATACTTGCTATTTCTCACACAAGACATTCTATCTCCCAACTCTGGACATCTCTTCTATACCTGAAAATCCCTCCTTATCTCTGCCTTCTGGCTTCCCTAGCTTTCTTCAAATCAAAGCTAAATGCCTGCCTTCTACAAGAAGCCTGTCAGCCCTCCTCAATCTTAGTGCCGTCTTTCTGTTGATTATGTCCAATTTATCACATCCTTATATAGAGCTTGTTTGTATGTAGTTGTTTGCCTATTGTCTACTTCATCATAATCTGATTTCCTTGAGAGCAGAGACATTTTTTTTGCCTTTCTTTGTATGCCCAAAGTGTCCAGCATACAGTAGGCACTTAATAAATGCTTGCTGAATGACTATCTGGTTTGCATTTGGAAAATTGTACAGTGCTTTTAAGAACCGTAACTTCAGTCAATCAACAAGCATTTCTTAAGCACTTACTATATCAAGCATTGGCCTGGGCACTGGGACAAAAATCAAAAAATCTTTGCCCTTAAAAAGCTTAGAATCTATTATTAAGAGAGAGAACCATGGCCTTTGAGACACCTTCCTGCTGTAGGACTGTGATCTTAAGTATATATTTTTTAAAAAAGAAGACAATAAAGAAGGCAATTTTTTTTAAAGAAGTCATTGGTGACATGGGAGATCAGGGAAAATCAGAAAAGATGTGGTACTTAAGCTGAGCTTTGAAGGAAACTACTCATTTTAAGGCATGGAGATGAGGGAAGGAGTACATTTCAGGTATAGGGGACAGTCAGTAAAAAAGTAGAAAGATGGGATATGGCATATCATATGTGAGAAAGACTAAGGAGGACATTTTGACTAAACTATAGAGTGCATAAAGTATAATAATATATAATAAACCTAAAAAGATAGATTGGAGTCAGGTTCTTTAGGGCTTTAAATATCAAACAGAGAAGTTTGTATTTTATCCAAGAGGTAATGGGAAGGCTCTGGAGTGTTCTGAGCAGGGAAATGACATGGTTCAGTGGAGATAGTGCTGTGTCTGAAGTCAAGAAGACCTGAGCTCAAATCTGGCCTCAGACATTTAGTAGTTGTGTGACCCTCGGCACATCACTTAACCTCTTTCAGCCTCAGATTCCTCAATTGCAAAATGGAGATAATATTCGCACCTACCTCGCAGGGTTGTTGATCTTATTTTTTAAATCCTTTGCAAACCTTAAATCTCTATATAAATGCCACCTATTAGCCATTGTCCTTTAAGAAAATCACTTTGACAGTTGTGCAATGGATGGGTTCAAGAAGGGAAAGATGAGGCAGGGAAACCAATTAGGAGGCTATGGTAACAGTCCAGGTGAAACATGATGAGGACATGAATGAGAGTAGCACCTGTGTGAGTGGAACGAAGAGGAAAGATGCAAGAGATATGGAGGCAGATTCAATGGGATAGATTGAACATGTGGGGTGAGGGAGAGTGAAGAGCTGAGAATGACCCCGAAGCTTACAAGCCTAGGTGCCTAGGATAGGGGTACCCTTGATAGAAATGGGGGAAGTGGAGGAATAGCTTTAAAGGTAATGCTAATGAGTTCTGTTTTAGACATTTAAAGTTTGAGATTTCTACAGGGCATCCAGTTCAAAATGTCAAATAGGCTTTTGGTGATATGGAAGCAGAATATAGAAGAGAGACCTAGGACTACAGAAATACATACCTACACACATATAGATATAAATATAAGTATAGATGTATCATTTGTTAAGTAAGTGCAGGGCACTGTGCTAAGCTCTGGGGATACAAAGAACAGCAAAAAATACCAGCCCCTGCTCCCAAGGAGCTCACAGTCTAATGGGGGAGTTAACATGAAAACAACCGTGTACAAACATGGTATTTATAGGTGTATATATGTGTGTGTATATACATGTGGATGTATATTTATGTGTGTGTATATATTTGGTTCATGAGAAGTCAAAATTAGAGAGAACAATGTATGTTCATATATTTGTATATGGTGTATATATAGTGTGTGTACCCATACATATATACTATATATGTTATATATGTGTATAGTCACACATACACAAACTACACACACACACACATACACACGTGTGTCTCAGTTGATTGTTCCATCTCTTTCTGATTTTAACTTCTCATGAGCCAAATCCGCAGAAAGTTAGTTCTAAGGATACTTAAAATGCAGTTTATTTCTTTTCTTTCTTTTTTTTCTTTCTCCAAAGAAATAAAAGTGGACAGGAGGCTCCGGGATTAAAACATGATTGAGGGGAAAAGAAAGGGAGGTAATGAGGGTCAGTTGGTTGTCATTTTGGTCCTCTTCGAGAACAAAGGACATGCGTATGCTAGAGTCAAGCTACAGTGTGTACGACTGTGACTGATCAGAACAATATGAGCTCAGAACGTTCTACCACAGAACAGGCACAAATAGTCCTGTGAACATTTGGGGTGGATTCTCTAAATTTGCACATCTCGCATTTCTTTTGAGCTACTTCGGTTCTGCTCTGCTCACCTTTTCTGATATGGGCACGCTACGCTGAATTGTCCTGTGCCAGCATCTCCCACGTCACACAATCAATTCCAGAATTCTTAAGAGAGACCTTGTGAGTGTCCTTGTATCTCTTTTTCTGACCACCATGTGAATTCTTGCCCTGTGTTAAGTTCTCCATAAAATAGTCTTTTTGGCAAGCATATGTTTTGCATTCGAACAAGATGGCCAGCCCATCGGAGCTGTGCTCTCTGTAGCAGAGAATAATGGTAGACAGCTAAGGAGAGATACAGACCAATAACTTGGTTAGGGTCAAGTGACCAGGTTTCTTAAGGATGGGGAGACCTGAGTATGTTTGTAGGCAACAGGGAAGCTGCCAGTAGATAGATACTGAAGTTGAGGAGGTAGGGGGAATGATTTGGGGAGCAATCTATTGCAGGAGAGAGGAGAAGCTGAGATTAAGGGTACAGAGAGAGATGGCTTAGCAAGGAATATGGCCATCTCTTCATCCTATGTGTAAAGGAAGAGAGGCTGGAGGTCAGTCAGTTTTGAGATAACAAATAAAGGGAGAAGAAAGAGCTTATAATGAATGACCTCAATTTTCTCAGTAAAATAGTTCTCCTTCAAAAAAAAAAGCCCAACTTTTAATTATCAGTTTTCCTCCAGTGACTATCACTTCAGGTCACCAAATATCACATTCTACCAAGAATTAAAGTTGTATATCTCCCAAAGGGCAATGAAGAGGTATACTTGGAAGACATGAGTAGGCTGCTGCATTGTATCAATGAAGAATTTTACACAAAAATTGCATAAAGATTATCATCCAAGAGATATAAACCAGAAAAGGAAATGAGCAAGTCATGTAGCAGTAGCAAGTGATTACTAATCAGCAGCCTGAACACTCTAGTGGTATCCACAGAATGTCAAGAGAGGTAGAGGAAGATTCCCCAGAACGTCGGGTGATCCTCTTTGAATAACTTATGGAAGATTCATGTACTGCAGTCACATAGGATGAGAAAGTAGTTTCTTTTGCACTATTGGAGATTGCTTACATTCATGAAATCACAAATCCATCAAAGTAATCAAGTTATACTTGGGATAATCAGTGAATCCATCTCTAATTTTAGTTTTATTACTTTAACCTTAAGGAAAACATATTTTATTGATTACCTTTTTATAAAATTCTTTTTTGACTTCTTTAAATTTTCTTTATTAACAAGCATTCATTTTCTCTCCCATTTACCACCCCTTTCACCAAACAGATAAAAGAAATAGAGAAAAACCCTTTTAACAAGTATACATAGTCAAGGAGAATAAATTCCCACATTGATCTTTTCTAAAACCATATCTCATTCTGCACCCTGAGTCCATCACCTCCTCTCTGTTAAGTGGTGGGTAGCATGCTTCATCATCTATCCTCGAGAATCATGGTTGATCAGAGTTCTCAAGACTTGAAAAATTTGTCCTACAGTGTTGTAAATGTTGTGTAAATTGATCTGGTCCTGTCACTTCACTATTCATTGGTTCATACAAGTCTTCCCAGGTTTCTCTGAAATCATCCCCTTCATCATTTCACAGGACGCACTAATATTTCATTACATTCATATGCAGTAATTTTCTCAGGCAATTCCCCAGTTGCAAGTAGCTTCTTAATTTCCAGGGTTTTTTTTGCCACCACAGAAAGAGCTGCTATAAAAATGTTTGTACAAATGGGTCCATTTCCTCTTTTTTTTTAATCTCTTTAGGGTATAAGCCTAGAGTATCATTGGATTGAAGGAAATGCACAGTTTAGTGACATTGGGGACATAGATCTGAAATACTTCCCAGAATTGGCCTCCTGACAGCTACTAATAAGGATCATAACATCTTAAGCCTCACCATTACTGAAAACTATACAGCTTCCAAGATCTTGAACTCTCAAGTCCCCTTCTCTTATAACAATGTTCTGTTTTTCCTCCTCTCCTCCCCACCCCCCCATTCCTCCTGAATCTGCTCTCCATTCTTACCATGACTTCTAGTCATTAAAAACTTTCCTGTTCTCCCAGTGTAGCACCCTTGTTCCGAATTTTTTCCATGGATTGAGACCATCAATCATAAGTTCCTTCATCTCCTGTCCTCTGTATCTTCACACAGCCTTTCCTTCGGTCTGAGAATGAGGTAGCTCTCATCCTTGATTAGGGCAGACTCCACCTCTGGGACCTTTATCCTAGACTTTCTTGTCCTCTTCAGAAATTTGCCCTGTTGATTGCCCCCTTCTTACATTTTCAGTCTACAAAATTCTCAGGTCTCTACTCTCCAGAAAAATAAACAAAACTTTTCCCTTGACCTTGCCATTACGTTAAGACATCATCATCTCCCTTTGACTACCAAGTGTCCAAAAAAAGAAAGCAATATATAATCACTTCCTCCACTTCATAACCACCAGTCTATCCATCCATTCTTCAGCTCCGTATAATTTGTATTCATATCCCATCGCTACTGAACCAGCTCTTTCCAGTGTCTCTAATGACCCTCAGTTGCCAAGTCCAAACATTTTTATTCCTCTGTCTTCATCCTCCACGGCCTTTCTGTGGTATGTGACACTGCTGAACCCTGTCTCTTCCTGGATATTCTTTTTTTTTTTCTTGGCTTCTATAACAATGCTTTTTCCTCTTTCTCCTCCCTAACTCTTCACTCCTTCATCTCCTTTTCTGGTTCCTCCTACTCCTCTCTCAAAGCTTTGTCCTGAGCTTTATTTTCTTTTCTTGCTATAATCTATCCCTTGGTGATCTCACTTTTGTGCTAATGACTTCCAAATCTGTTTATCTAGCTCCAATCTTTCCTCCTCAGTCCCATCTCTCTAATTGCCTCCTAGTCAACTCTACCTGCCAACACCTTAAATTTGACATGTACCAAAATGAACTCATCTTCTTTAAACATACCTTTACTCCCAACTTTTCATTTCTACTTACAGCACTACTATCCTCCTAGTAACCCAGTCTTAAAGCTTTGGAGTCATATTGGACACTTTCCCTAACAAACCACAGCCAATTAGTTCCAAAACCCTGTAGATTCTACCTATTCACTGTTTCTTATATCTGTCTTCTTTCCACCCTAATCACTTCCCCTTGCACTGTTGTAATAACAACCTTCCTCTACTTAATTGCTGTGTTCCAGTCCATTCTTCACACAGCTGTCAAATCAACCTTCCCAGTGCACAGGTCTGATCATGAATTTAATTAAAAACAACAACAACCTCCAGGGCTGCTTATAGCCTATCAGATAAAATAGAAACTCCTTACCTTGGCATTTAAGACTCTGCACATTCTAACTCTAACCTACCTTTCCCTTTCTGTGATCCAGTCAACTTGGACTATTCTCCATTCTTGTCCAGTTGTGTCCTATTTTCCACCTTTACCCACCTTTAGCCTTCATGTCTGGAATATGCTTCTCTGCTCATTTTTACTTATTGAAATCCTCTTTTCTTCAAGATTTAACTCAGATTTCAGATTTCCCAATGAAGCCTTCCCTAGACCTCTCAGCAGAAATTACTTTTTACCTCTTCAAGTTTTCCTGGCGCCGTAGGAAAAATGTCTTTGTCTGAATCATTCTCACTCATATATATGAGTGCTCACTCACATGTAACATTCAAATATTATGTGTACTTACTTGTGAACATTTCATATCCTTCAAGTGAAAAATATAGCACCCTTGAGGGCCAAGACTGCCATCACTTATCTTTGTATCTCTAGTGCCTAGCACAGTGCTTTGCACATAGTAAGTTAAGCGTTTAAATTATTTCTATTGAAATTAATTAAACATCAATGCCATATAGTTTCTATGTAAGACTATAAGATATGTATAACTGATTCATTCCAAGTGTCCATTTCTTGAAACTATATTACCTTTCTGATGGTGAAACTCAAGTGTGAACAGATTAAGTTACTTTCTGTAAACCAACAGCCAAGGTCACCAATTTCAGACATCTTATCCATTGTTTTATCCAACATGAAAAAACTCTTCAACATTCATAAGGAATGATGGGGGAGGGAGCAGAATCTTCCTATGAGATATTCTCATAGTCATCACTCCCTAGATTTTATGGATAATAGAACTAAGTATTTAAGTTATGTTAAGTATTTCAGGTCTTTCACTTGATGTTCTGTTCTTTTTTTTAATTGTATAATTTATGGTGTTGGAGAACTGTATGGAGTAAAAAGAGGTTAAATGACCTACCTAGACAGCTGGTAAAAGTCAGAGGCAGGACTTAAGCTCAGGTGTTTCTAACTTCAAGGCCAGTGTCCTATCCACTATGCCACACTGTCCATCTAAGACTATGGTACAAGTTCCATATACAGTCAAAACCCTAGGTCCAGAACAAAAAAACAGATAAATAATAGTGCTTTAATTAATTATTTTTCATTTGAAAACCAAACTTAAGGCTTCAGATCCTGTAGGAGTTATGCTATTAAATTGCTTTGGAAAAAAACAATATTATTCTATTTATCTCTTTCTCACTTTAGGAATCATGTGGAACTCAGTTTACTGTAAGGACTGATCCTGAAATAGCAAGGTCCGTATCGACCGCTCAAGACAACCTCTTTTCTTCTGGTGTGTAAGCTTGTCACTCAGTATTAATTTGAAAGTTTTCCTTTTTTCTCTTAAAATTCAACACTCTTAGAAAGCAACTATCACTTATGTTGTGCATATCTCCTATATAGATTCAAAATTCATTGCAATATTAATTGTTAATAATGATGATGAAGACGGTGAGCCGCAGCATGGAGTAGTGGTTAGAGAGCTATCCTCCAAATCAGGAGGACCTGGGTTCATTTTACCTCTGATATATACGGGCTTTTTAACCCTGGGCAAGTCACTTGTCATCTCAGTGTCCCAAGGGAAATCCCTACGATATCTCCCTAAGGTAAACTATTGTAGAATAGTTCCCCAGCTACATTGGTAAAAGAAATTTCCTCACCACAAATTCCTATACCAATGAAATAACTGATTTGGGGCAGTAATAACAATCACAACTTACTATAAAGAAGGACATTAGGAAGAAGTCTTCAGTATGTCAAAAGATTTGGGAAGACATGAATAATAATTGCACAGGACAAGGAAGTATGGATGGGGTGCAGTCTGCACCAGTATAGGGAGTAATCTCTTGTTCAGTAAGATAAATACATCACCTTGATTTATATTATCTTGCTTAATCCTAACAGGAACCCTGTGATGTAGGCAATGCAGGTAAAACAATTACTCTTTTATAAAGAGGTAGACAAGGCTGAGAGAGATTAAATAACTAGCCCATAGTCACTAATCCAGTAAATGCCAGTGCCAAGCCTAGGACTCAAGTCTTCTGACCCCAAATCTAGTGGGGTTTTTTTTTACACCATCACAAATTAGGACTGGTGAAAGGTGTGTGGGGGGGTGTATGTGGGGGAGTGGGTGGGTGAGAGAGAAGAGAAAAAAAGAGAGAAGAGAAAGAAGAAAGACAAGGAGAGGGTACGTGTGTGTGTGTGTCAGTGAGGGTCAGCATCAATGGAGAGCAGATGAAACAGACCATAGAATCAAACTGAAAGGGACCTAAGAAATTATTTAATCCAACAAATAAGTGAATAAAAGCCCACTTGTGTAGCATTCATCCAGCCCCCTTCTAAAGATTTCCAGATGGGAAACTCACTATATCCTAAGGTGTTCCATTATACTTTTGGAAAGCTCTAATGGGTAGGGACCTTTTTCTTATATTAACCTAAGTTCTTCGTCTCTGCTAATTCCTCTCCTGGGATCAATTAAAATAAATCTCTTCCCTCTTCCTTAGAAGGCCCTTCAAATACTTTTCTAGTAATCCTTGTATGGCATGATCATTATGCTTGGCGTGCTTACCTGCATTTGCTCCAGCACAGCAATGCCATATATGCTGCTGCACTCCAACAGTGCTCCCATGTGGCCAGGACCAAATTAAAATGTAATTGGAAAATATTTAACAGAATAGATAAAAATATAGTATGACATAGATAATGTTAATATGTGGTTTTCTAAGTTGATATGCAACCTGCAGGGATCCTAATGTATGGTTCAGTGGCCTCTGTTTCTGTTTGAGTTTGACAACACTGCTGTAGCATGTAAATGACCTTCCTAAATTCTGGTACCTGGAACTAAACAAAATACTAGATGTCATATGAGCAGCAGAACTATGATTTTAATTTTTTTTATGGACACTGTACTTCTAATGGGCAGCTAGGTGGCAAAATGGATAGAGTGCTGGGCCTAGAGTCAGGAAGACTCCTCTTCTTGAATTCAAATCTGGCCTCAGGCACTTACTAGCTGTGACCCTGAGCAAGTCACTTAACCCTGTTTGTGTCAGTTTCCTCATCTGCAAAATGATCTGGAGAAGAAAATGGCAAACCCCTCCAGTATCTTTGCCGGGAAAACACCAAAAGGGGTCATGAAGAGTGAGATACAACTGAAACAAACAAACAGCGTATTTCTAATAATGAGACTAGGCTATATCATGTAGTTGACTCATATAGAGCATAAATTCTGCTAAAAGACCCAAATTTTCTTTCACATAAACTGTTGTCTTGCCACATTTATCATATCCTGTGCATATTTTTTAACCCAATTGTAGGACTTTACATTTATTCCTATTATAGTTCACTTTATTAAATTCAGTCCATCATTCTGGGCCAGGGGTTCTTAAACTTTTTTGGTTCCTAGACCCCATTGTCAGTCTGGTAAAACCTATAGATCCCTTCTCAGAACAATGTTTTTAAATACATAAAATTACAAAGGAAACCAATTATATCAATAACATCAACAAAATATTTTGAAAGTTCACAGATTCCAGATTAAGAACCCCTGCTCAAACCTGTTGAGACCTTTGGGGATCTTACCTCTCATTCAGTGTGTTAGCTAACTCCTACTCCAGCTTTGTATCAATTTACAAATTTGATAAAAATCCCATATCAGATACTCCACTGAAGACCTCTATCCAGGATGAAATCAGTCTACTGATCACCATTCTTTGGGCCTGATTCTTCAACCAGTTTCAAATGCACTTAACTGTCCTATCATGGAGCCCACTTTTCTCCAGTTTGTACACAATGATTATCATGAGATATTTTTTCAGATATTCTACAGAAACTCAGGGATACTATAGCTACCACATTCCCCTAAGGTGCCAATCTAGTGACCCTGTCAAAAAAGGAAATTAGGTTAATCTGGCAACCCAGACTGACTCAGATTAGTCATCACTTCCCTAAGGGCTTGTAAACTTTCCCTTTAATCATGTGTTTTTCAATTTTATCAAAAATAGAAGTCAAGACCCCACACCAATAGTTTAAAGAGTGTACCTTCTCCTTTTTGAAAGTCAGGAAGTTGTTGCCCCATTTCTAGTCCTGCAGCATCTTTCCCATGCACCATAATGTTTTTTAAAAATCACAAGCAAATATGTAAGGTGCTTTCCAAACCTTATAACTCCATGTAAATGCTAACTATTATTATTAACAATTACATTCTCAAATTTTTTTCACTAATTTGGGAAGTATGTTCCATGGGCATGGTGATTTGCACTCATTTGAACAAGCTAAGCTCTCTATCTCCATCTGCCCACTTTTCAATTCCCCATCCCCTTTTTTATTCTAACATTTTTAATCCAAGTATCATTCTCTTTGGAAGAAAAAATAGAAACAAAATAGGAGTTGTTACTCTTTGTCCAGGTCTCCCTTCTTTTTGATTTCCAGGTTAAAATTCTTTTGACCATATCTGGAAGTTACTAGGCAAACATGTTCTTCATGACCCTTATTAAATATGTTCTATCTCTGACCAGTGCTAATTAGATTAGACTAGATCAAATTGGCCCAGGAGTCCACTATTCATGTATCCAAACCTCATTCTGAAACACCATCTTCCTAGCCAGCTGTTCTTGTCTGCATACTTCTATTAGCACCACCACTATTACTACTGTCATTATTATTACTAGTCCTGTTCCTAGTACTACTGCTGCTGCTACGACCATCACTGCCACCACCACTACTATTGCCACCACCATTACCACCACCACCACCACCACTAAAACAACTTCCACTACTATTACCACCACCATCACTATTACTGCTAATACTACTACTACCACCACTACCACTATCACTACTATACACATACACATGCAATCTCATTTGATCCTTACAACAGCCCTATAAGATAGACACTATTATTATCCCCATTTTACAAATGAAGCCCATCCCTTAATTCAGCAACTGTGACAAAAATACCACCAGTTCTTTAGTTTCTTGCCAAGGCCTTCATAATCTTAGGGATGCTTGAAGGGTTTCTTTGGTATTATGTCTTCACGTGAATCACCAGAATACACCAGTTGTCGAGGTTGGCAAGTATTGGGAGATTTTCCATGATATCCTTGGTCCATCTGGAGAAAATGGCGTACCTCCCCTTTTTTCATGCTAAGTCATCATATGAACATGTCAGCAGTGTGCTGCCAACCACAACATTCCTTTTTCTACTGCCAGTACTGGATGCCTTCTTTCTTGGCAACACAGGTAGATACTCATCTTCATTTCACAAGAGACAGCTTCCTACCTAATTCAAGGCACAATGAGTCTCTACCTGCTCCAGGAAGACTGGATTATAATGATGATGAGATGATGAAGATGGTGAGCTGCTGCATGGAGTAGTGGATAGAGAGCTATCCTCCAAATCAGGAGACCGTGCTAGTATTCTCCTTCTCCTGAAGACATATTAGCTACCCTTTCCTGAGCCTTTGTATTCCTAGCCCTGAGCTGGGTGCCTGTTGACGTGGACTGAATGGAATGGGACTTCCAAGGTGATGTAAGGGATATTTTGCAATAAGACAACCTAATGAAAACTTTGTGTCTTACAGCACAAAATCAAGAGTATTCAACACTGCCTCATTCTGCAGTAAATCACAGCTGGGATGGTAACATTTCTTTAGTCCAAAGAGCTAAATTTTGCAGCCACCAGACAGCTTGCTCTTCAGCAGTAATACAGCCACTCACAGTTGAAGGAAATTCAGGTAAAACAGTTGCTACTTGATATTTTTAAATGGCATTATTGGCTATATGTAAGTACGTCTCATAGTAAACCTGATTGTTTTGTCCTTAATTCCATGCTGATGATGATGATGATGACAATAATAATAATAATTAACATTTATATAGCACTTTAAGGTTTGCAGAGTGCTTTACAAATGTTACCTCATTTGAACCTGACAACAGCCCTGGGAGGTAGGTGTTATTATTATCCCCATTTTACAGATGAGGAAACTGAGGTAGACAAAGGTTAAGTGACTTGCCCAGGGTCACACTGCTAAGAAGTTCCTGAGACCAGATTTTTACTCATATCTTCCTAACTCCCAGTCCAGAGCTCTATCTGCTGCCTATATTCATTGATGCATTATATATTACCATGCTGAAATGTTATCAGTAGCATTGGTCAAGATGATGTTGCATGAATATCTGATGTGGAGAAAGATAAAGAATAGTATCTTAAGAATTGCCTATAGCTTAATGCTTCTTAAAATGGTGGAGTATTTAAGCATCAGAATATTCAAATTATATTTTCTTTGGAGAAAAGGAATTTCAGTGAATTCCATAAGTATTATTTGAATACATAATCCGTGCTAGTCACATTAGGTGATATAGAAATGAATAAGACTGGATTGTTGTCCTCAAGGACCTTCCAGGCTAATAGGAGAGGTAAGATGTGTTCTCAAAAATGTTACAATGTGGGACAACTAGGTGATGCAATGGATAGAGCACTGGCCCTGGAGTCAGGAGAACCTGAGTTCAAATCTGGCCTCGGACACATAACACTTACTAGCTGTGCGACCCTGGGCAAGTCACTTAACTCCATTGCCTAGCAAAACCAAAAACAAACGAACAAAAATGTTACCATGTACATTAGATTCTAAATGCAAGAGAGATTATTTTCAACTGAGATGAGATGGGATAAGCCAAAGCTGCTTGAGAAGGTGGCATTTGAGGTGGGCTTTGATGGGTAAGATTTCAACAGAAATGGTAAGTAGTACCCTCCTGACATGGTTAAAATGGAGGAAATAGAGGAACAAAAGTGGGGTAGTATGGCAAGAACAAATCACATTGTAACCTGGGAAAGAGAACCGTTTTAAACTGAAGGACTATTTTCTTAAATTAAAAAAAAATACTATATGCATCTTTGTTTTAAATATTGGTGAATTTAGAGTAAATAGAAAAGATGTTTGGGTGGGAAAAGAGTACCCCACCTTTCTAGCATTACCCATATTGTCACTTTCACTTCTTTGCTTCATCTAAAGGAGCCATGCAAATTCCTGAGTCCAAAAGAGAAAAAAAAAACCTCTTATTAGAATATTCAGTGAGCTTAAGGTCCAAATTTTAGATATCTTATTTTTCCCTTAGGAGAGAAAATAGTTTTAATAGTTCAATTGATATTTATTATTTACATATTTCAACTATTTGTTTATTATGTTTATTATAATATATATTATACATTTGATAGTGTAATTCAACTAGTATTTATTATTTATTACTTATATATCTTCATTATATATTTAATAGAGCAATTTAACTGTTATTTATTATATATTTTTGTGGTTCGACTGATCCGTGTCAGTTGCCAACTGTGTTAGAACATTATGTGAAGCACTAAATTTAGAGAAGTCACAGGTCCTCCTCTCACAGAACTTGTAGTCTAGTAGAGGGATATGACACATACTTATTATAAAACAAATGCATGCCATGGACATGAAAGGTACAAATGAAGTGGTACATGAAGTCCAAGGGGAAGAGGCCATTACTGACTAAGAGAATCAAGGAAGGCTTCTTGAAAGAGGTGGTATTTGATCTAGATTTTAAAGAATGGGTTAACTGAGCAATGTGTGGCAGAAAAAAAGGAGAAAATTCTGCAAGGTATAGACATGGGAAAGTGCAGGATGTATATGGGAACAGAAAATAACTTGGCCTGGAGAAGAGTATTATGAATAGGCCTGGAAAACCCTGCCTCACATCTCTTCCAGTCCATCCTCTAATTAGTGGCCAAAGATCACTTTCCTAAAGTGCAAGCCTGACCATGTCATAATCATACTCAGTCAACTCCAAGGTCTCTCTCTCTATTACCTCCAGGCTCAGATATAAAATCCTCTGTTTGGCTTCTAAAGCCCTTCACAACCTAGCCCATCCTATCTTTCCAGTCTTCTCATACTTTACTCCCTTCCTCCTCCTCCACGTCCCAGTGACACTGGCCTTGTTGATGTTCCTCATACCACATTCCATCTCCTGACTCTGCCTTTCCATGTCTATCCTCCATGCCTGTTATGCCTGTCTTCACCTCTGCCTCATGGCCTCACTGGCTTCCTTCAAAACTAAGCTAACTAGCTTCTACAAGAAGCCCTTTCTCCTCACTTCTTCCCGCTGAGATGACCTCCCATTTAGACTATACATATATTGTATGTACATAGCTGTTTGTAGGTTGTTCCCTCCCCCTCATTAGAATATGAGCTCCTTGAGGGCAGGAACTGTTATTGCCTTTCTTACAGTTCCCTATACATTCCTCTTTTTCAATTAGTATGGTGTGGTTTTTGTAGTTTGTTCTTGAAAAGGACCAAAATGACATCACTTTGTTGTGGTTGAAGCATAGCGTTTCCTCTATGGCAGAGCAGACCAATACAAGCTTGGAAGGTTCTACCACAGGTTGGGCACAAATAGTCCACATGAACATTTGGAATGGATCTTTTTTGATTATTTGTATATGGAAAGGTTTGTGTTTGTCAGTGTTCAAGTTCATAACAATACATTTTAAAAGAATAGAATAGTAGGGTCATCCGAACTTGGGAAAAGTCTTAAATGCCAACCTAATGATATAATCCTAACTTGGCCGGTGATAGTGAACCACTGCAGTATTTTTTAAAAAGGAGACTGATAGTATTTCTGCAAGAAAAAGTAAAAAATAATTTACTATAAGTTCACATCTGTCTTTTGTATTTTTTCCCAGTAGACCTCCTGTCAGAGAGTCATGGAAATGGTATTGCCCAGCATTGGATCCAAAGCAAAAGGGAAGACATTGTGAACCAGATGACTGAAGCTTGCCTCAACCAGTGCCTGGATGCCCTTCTGTCTAAGGATTTGCTTATGAAGGAAGACTATGAACTTATTAGCACCAAACCTACAAGGACATCAAAAGTCAGGCAAATGCTGGATACCTCTGACATTCAAGGAGAAGAGTTTGCCAAAATTATAGTACAGAAATTGAAAGATAACAGACAATTGGGTCTTCAGCCTTACCCAGAAATATCTGTGGTTTCTAGGGGAACATCTTTAAATTTATTCCAAAATAAAAGCTTTTAAGTGTTTGCTTACCAGGAGGGAAAGTCAATTTATGAAAGGACATTTTTTTCTCTCTCATGCTTCAGTTCCAACTTTAATTATAAATAATATTTTGACAATTAGGTGTCTCACTGAGATTTCTTTTAAAGTTAATATAATTATTTCTGGATTCAACACCATAGTTCATCAAAGTATTTTTTTATGAATATAAGTGGAAAACTTTCACTGTAGTAGGTAGCTTACTATATTGTGTTTTGTAAATTGATGTTGTTTTAAGGATAAAGTAATTATACTTGTACTTGTTCATAAAAAGTGTGTATGATATTGTATTTTTCTGATTTAAGCCATTTCTACAATTGCTAAGTTTGTGAAGTATTTATTACTTGCCTAAAGTACATTAAGGTTTCAAATAACATCTTTTTGTTCATCAAATAACAACAGCAACAATGACAATAACAGCTGACATTTTTATAGAATTTACCATATGCCAGGCAGTGGGCTAAGTGCTGTAATTATTATCTCGTTTGATTCCCCACAATGACTCTGGGAGTCATTTTAAAGATGAGAAAACAGAGGTAAACAGAGCATAAGTTTCTTATCTAGCACCACATGGCTAGAAACTATCTGAGGTCAGATTTGAACTCCGGTTTTCCTGAATCCACACCAAGTAATAGTGCAAAAGTACATCAGTATTTCAGGGATCTGTCTTTTGGAAATGTGACCACTCCCACTAATAATGCAAGATGTAATTTCCTTTGTAATTTAGGAGTTTGGGGGATTTGGGTTTTTTTTTTTAATCAAACTTGTGATTAATTTCTTGGGTTTGTAGAACTCCTGAATGAGGAAACTCCCTGTACCAATGCAATTTGATACCTCTTCTGCAATTTACAATTGGGGGATGTTACTTGAAGCACTTAGACTTTAAATGATTTTCCCAGAATCACAATGTTAGTATGTATCAGAATCTGGACTTGAACCCAGGCCTTCCTTACGTGGAGACAGTCTATTTAAAATACAGCAAGATGGCACAATGGATAAAATGTGGGCCTGGGAGTTAGAAAGACCTAAATTAGAATCCTACCTAAGACACTTATCTGCTGTGTGACCCTGGGGCAAGACATTTAAGGAACCTCTTTGTGTCTCAGTTTACTCACCTGTCAAATAGCACCTCCTTCAAAGGATTGTTTTGGGGATCAGATTAGTTAATAACGTGATTAAAAGCCCTTTGCAAACCTTAAAGTGCTATATAAATACTAGCTGGTATAATTAGTACTATCCACTACCACACACTACCTCTCTTAGATAGTTTTCAGGTATTATTGTGGCTAAAAAACTCATCACCATGTATCTCTTTTGACCTTGACTAGCCTGGTTCTCAGACCATAGTGTGGCATATGGAAAAGGCAGCCTGGCTCTCAAGTCAGGGGATCTGGGATTCACATCCTAACTCGGACTCTTAATTACTTATGTCACCTTGGATAAGTCATTTAATTTCCATGGCCCTTAATTTCTTTATCTTCAGAGTGTCTAGATGGCCTCTAAGATACTTTTTAGCTCTAGATATGTGATCCTCTAGGCAGCCCATCCCTAGGCTGACAGTCAAAGCTTTTCCTTCTTAGTAAGAACTTTCAGAATTTGGGCTCCCTTGACATAGCTTCCGAAATCCAGGGGCACCCTCTGGGCCATCCCCCATTCGACAGATGCCAGTGATTCTCTATTACTTCTAGGATCAAATATTCCACTTCATCCCTCAGATTAATTCTAGACATGGCCAGTTGGGGTTAAGGCAAAGTTTTTGGTGCTATTATTAAAAAAGCAGACTGCAATAGATAAGATACTGAGCTTCTAGAAGCTAAATCCTATCTAAAATCCTATCTCAGATACTTAACTAGCTGTGTGACCCAAAGCAAGTTACTTGATGTCTCCATACCCCAACTTCCTCATCTATAAGATGAGGGGCTTGGTCTCCACGAACTCTGAAGTCCCTCCTAGATCTAAATTTAGTATCCTAGGAAACCATGGATTTGGTAGAGATGGGGCACAGGCTAAGCATTTGCAAGTGTACAGGCTTTTAAGAAGTTTCCCCAGAGAGAAACTGGGGCTAGTGGCTCAAGGAAAGTCCTTCTTTGGTGGGCAACTAAGACATTGTATGCCCTTGCTGGATAATTAATACAATGACATACTGTCATTCTGTAAGCTTAATACACATATATATTTAGACTGCTTGCACTACGTGTCACATCAGTAAATACCTGGATATAGAATGCCAGAGGCCAGACTGAAGACAAGCCCCACTCTGTAGCTTCATCTCAATATCTTAGGGAATAAGGCATAGACCAAAAAAATTTCCTCTATGTAAACTATGCTCTGAATCTAAACTAATATTTGAGGTACTAGCTCTTTCTTATCAATTGTCTTGTCTGAGACCTCAGTTCTTTTAGTACTAGCCATGGTGTTTTGGGGAATACTCTAAGCAGAAACTTCTTAAGATGATTCACTACAAACAAAAAAAGCAATGTCATTGCTCCTTCCTAGGCTTCTCAGAGAAAAATCTTTAAGGAGAAAAAGATGACAACAACCTAAAGACTTGTTAAGAAATCAGATACCTAACTGCAAATATATCTGCAATCATTCTGATCTGACCTAATTGAGTTGTTTAGAATATGAAATGCTTACAAAAGAAATGTTGCCAAACCTCCTTCCAAAAAACAGCTCTTCAGTCTTTGGGGCTTCAGCTGTTATAATCACTTTTTCTTGGCTGGGTCAAATTTCAACATCTGGTTGAGCTGAGATTGCTAAATGTAGAAAAAAATTAAAAGCCAAACTATAATGAAAGCCTTTGTATCATAGAGAGAATAGATAAGAACTGAAGAGGAATTTAAAGATCACAATGATAATAAAATTGTTTCAGATGTTAAAAGGCAAAGAGTACAGTATCATAGCAAAACTAGAGAGCACCACTTCAAAGAAGAGTGGCAATGTTCATTGGCAGAGAAATTGTGCACCTGTACAAAATCACAGATCCTTGAAACATTGAAAAGTCTATGCATGGTGTGCCAGGTTAAGTGCTGCCATGCCAAGTGAATTAAACAGACTTGCCGTCATCTCTGGGAAATAACAACTAAAGACAGAAACATCATTTGAGCAGTTATATACAAGACATCCAAGCAACTATTGAATAAGTACATGTGTTAAAGGAAGGTTACATGCTATCAATCAATAAATAAACATTTCTTAAGCACCTGATATGTGCCAGGAATTGTGCTAAGCACTGGGGAGACAAAAAAAAAGCAAAACATAGTTCTTGCCTTCAAGGAGAGCAATCTAATGAGGGAGACAACATGTAAACAAATATGTGCGAAGCAAGATACAGAGGGAAGGCACTGAAATTAAGAGGGCTTGGGGAAGACAACATAGAAGGTAAGATTTTGCTTGGGACTTAAAGGAAGCCAGGGAGGTCAGTAGGTAGAGTGGAGGGAAAGCACTCCAGGCATGGGGGACAGCCAGAGAGAATGCCCAGAGCCAAGAGATGGAGTAAGATCTTAGAACAGCCAGGATACCAATGTCACTAGATGGAAGAGTAAATGCCAGGTATTAAGGTATAAGAAGGCTGGCAAAGTAGGAGAGGGCTAGATTATGAAGGGCTTTGAATGCCAAACAGAACATTTTGTACTTGCTTCTGGAGGCAATAGGAAATCAGGAGTTTATTGAGTAGTAGTATTGGAGGTGACATGATCTGACCTGCATTTTAGGAAAATCCTTTTAGAGGCTGAAAAGAAGATAGATTGGAGTGGGGACAAAATTTGAAGCATACAGACCCACCCGCCAGATGTTACAGTAATCCAGGTTTGAACTGATGAAGGCCTGCATTAGAGTAGTCAAAGTGTCAAAGGAGAAAAGGGGGTATATTCAAGAGATGTCACAAAAGTGAAATCAACAAGCCTTAGAAACAATTTGGATACTGGGGATGAGAGAGACATCGTGAAGACTCCAGGATGACTCTTAGGTTTTGAGCCTGAGGGACTGGGAGGATGGTGTTGCCATCTACAGTAATAGGAAAGGTAAGCCAGAAGGGAGGGTTTAGGGGAAAGATAATGAGTTCTGTTTCAGACATATTGAGTTTAAGATGTCTACCAGACATGTAGTTGGAGATGTCTGAAGAGCAGTTGGAGATGTGAGATTAGAGCTCAACACAGAGATTGGGACAGAAAAGATGGATTTCAGAATGAGCATAGGGATGGTACAATAGATAGGGTACTGAGCTTAGAATCATGAAGACTCATCTTCATAAATTTAAATGAAGCCCCAGACACTTACTAACTGTATGACCCTGGGCTTAATTTAACCCTGTTTGCCTTAGTTCCTCATCTGTAAAATGACTTGGAGAAGGAAATGGCAAACCACTCCCGTATCTTTAGTCAGACATGACCGAAAATGACTGAACCACAACAGCATAAAGATGGTACATGGGAGCAGATGACTGTTACTGTGGTTTGTCCTTTGTTCTTTCAGAGGACCGTGGCATCAGGAAGGTGATGTCATGACTTGCAAGTGAATTGGATTTAAGTGAGGGAGGGTTGTGCAAGGTCACCAGCCTCACTCTGTCCTCTGGAGTCATCTAGGTCCAGTGGCAAGATATAAATCAGGACAACTGGAGATGGCCCTGGCTGCAGTGGGAGACCCTAGCCTTTTTTAAGCTAAGGTCTTTCCCAGGTCTCAGTTTGAAGTCTAGGTAAGAAATGGAACAAAGAATGGATTCTTTTACCTAGTTAAAAAAATCAGTCTGGGAGGGGAAGATCCTCAGATCCTCTGGCCAAAACAGAAACAATTGCTATTTATGTTCACTTTAAGCCATCAGAGCCCAAAAAACAACCACAAAATGGGGCTTGGGCTGGGACCGATTGTTGGCCAGAGTGAGAGAGCCCGAGTGAATTGGGCTCAAGACATGGTCCTTAAGAAAGAAATCTTAGACACTTGACCGCTTACTAGCTGTGTGACCTTAGGCAAGTCACTTAACCCTTATCGCCTCACAAAAAGAAAAAAGAAAGCAAAAAAATCTTATCCAGTAAATCCCAAAATATCTTTAGAAGTTTCAGCAACCAAAATTTACATTCCTTTGGGCAAAATATCTTATTACTGGATAATTCAGTAATAATGAGGATTAGATCATTTGCTATTCTAGAGTGGAATGAGTGATTCCACACATTCTAATTTAGAAACACATAGAGGATTTATAATCTATAACCACCTAGGCACATTAGCACAGTGCCTGGGACATAACTAGATGCTTCA